TTCAAATCAGAACTATGGCAGTGTGCTGATAATTGAGGCTTTTCCGCATTGTGATGAGCTTGAGCAGAATGTAGTGCTGTGTCCAAAGTTCCAGCCCACGTCAACGTCAACCTGAGCTCTTCTTTGTATGCACATTGATTTTCGATTTGGACTTTCAGCACACTCCAGTTTACAGGAATTGATGCTTCTATTCTATTTTTGGCAGGGCATTTTTGGTTATAGAAAATGTTGCAGTCAGTAGCATTGATTGAAAATAGTGTTTCTGGTGAAGCAGCATTTTTTGCACTGTAGGTAGCTGGCGCAGTGATCATTCTCAATCCATAGCGGACAGAGCATGCCCTAAGTTAGACACAGTTTTCCAGGCATAAAAAAGAACACAAAAAGGAAACGCTAATGATGTCTCTGCCTAGGGGCCAGGGCCTGGGGGAAGCTCATGGTCTCTGTGACCCTCTTCTCTATTCCGCATGGTGAAGCGTGCATGGTGAATGCTGGAGGTCATCTAGACCTCTTCTGTCACTCTGAGACTCTACAGAAAAAGTTGCTGAATTCCTATCTTACAACACTGAGAAAACAGTAATTCAACCCAGCTCAACATTTTAATCCCATCAATTTAGATCGAATGTTTTCTTTCAAATTCACAGTACTCCATGAACATCAGATTTTGCTATATTTACTATTTAAGTAAATGAGCAAATTAGAAGAAAAATGACTGAAAGGAGATTCATCATCTGTTTTATAGCAAATCTAAGTAGTGGAAGAACAAAAGTTTTTTGCAATATTTCTGATCCCAAAGTCCATACATATCATACTATATATATCAGTTAGGAACGGTCTTCTCTTCTTAAAGAAATCAGCTAGACTTGCATAAGCAGACAGGGATTCAGTTATTGCACTCGACAAGTAGTGAATTTTAATGAAGATGCTCAAGGAAAGCCCAGACTTAGGCCCATCTTAGCTCCCTGGTCTGTTATCCCTAGCATGTGACTTTCACTATAATTGCAAGAAGGTGGTTCAAATTCTGGTATCAAGTATGCAGTCCAGATAGGAGGAAAAGGATGAATAAAAGCAAACAGGATCCCTCTGCCAAATTTGCTATCTTTGTTAACCAGAAAAGTAATAACTTACATAAGAAATTTTCTTTACATGCTTCTTTTTTGTGTTTTGTCTTGTTTTGTTATGAAAGAGTTTCACTATGTAGTCTGGGTTGGCCATGACCTTATATTCCTCCCACCTCAGCTTCTGAGTGCTGGATTACAGGTCTGTGTCACTATAGCTAGCTGTATGATTTTATTTACATCTCCTTGACCAAATCTTCAAGACATGATTTTGCATATATTCAAGAAAGTCTGAGGAATGAATTTTAAATGAAATTTACTTAGCTATAATTTAGATATAATGAGAGTTGCATTTTTTATGCAGATATAATTTTGACAAATACTACTCATAATCACTGCTCCAATCAAGGAACACAACATTCCATATTGCAGACGGAGCCTGAACTGAGCATCTTGCTATCTTGAATAAAACTCAGGCTCCGTTAAGTAGGTAGTAGTCAGCATCTGCCATAGTAAGGTTTAAAGTTGAGGAGTTTAAAAAATATGACTTAGAAAAAAATTGAAAAACATGAAATACTTAGAAAATGTCTGTTATAGTCAGCCAATCATAAAAGGGAATATGTTCAAGTTTCTCAGGATTATTTATGTCTAAATCCTTAATGCTAAAAAGAAAGGAATTTGATAAGTCTTAAATCTGTTCAGACTGTTGATCTCCTCTTGGTTTTACTCTGGAGGACGGAATCACAAAGGACCCTGGATAGCCCAAACAATCTTGGGCAAAAAGAACAATGCTGGGGAAATCACCATACCAAATCTCAGATTATATTACAGAGCTATAGTCATCAAAACAGCATGGTACTGGCACAAAAATAGGTAGATCAATGTAACACAATAGAAGACCATACAACTTCAACCACCTGATATTTGACAAAGGTGCTAAGAATACACAATGTAGAAAGGACAGCATCTTCAACAAATGGTGCTGGCAAAACTGGATCTCCACCTGCGGAAAAATGAAACTTGACCCTGATCTTTCACCTTGCACAAAAGTCAACTCCAAATGGATCAAAGACCTCAACATAAAACTTGAAACAGTGTGGAGAACCCTCAAAAAACTAAAAATGAACCTACTATATGATCCAGTGATACCACTCCTTGGCATATTTCCAAAGGACTCATCCTACTGTAGAGAGATACCTGTACATCCATGTTTGTTGCTGCTCTCTTCACAATAGCTAAGAAATGGAAACAACCTAAATGTCCCTCAACTGACGAATGGTTAATGAAAACATGGTACATCTCAATGGAGTTATACTTAGTAGTAAGAAAAAATACAACTATGGAATTTGCAGGTAAATGTATAGAGCTAGAGAGTGTTGTACTAAGTGAAGTAACACAAACTCAGAAAAGCAAGTGACATATGTTCTCCCTCATTTGTGGATTGCAGCACCAATCCCTTTTATGTGAGTATGTAAATTCTGAAGTAACACCAGGAGCCAGGTAAAGGCAAAGGATACATGGAGGTAAAGGAAAAGAAGCAACCAGAAAGGGGCATAGTAGGGGACAGATGTTACCCGAGGAGGTGGAAAAGCTGGGAGTAATCTGCAGGGAGGAGAAGGAGGGACATGCAAGGGACTATGATGTGTGAAGGAAGTCGGGAGAGCAAATAATGCAGGAGTTGAGAGGTGTTGAGGGGAGGGTGTGGACAATGGGGGCACTGTGACTATGGAGGGAGGGAGGAAGGAAGCCAGATGGGAGAAAAAGAGTGGAGGTGAGTGAATCTCAGGGGGCTAAGAAACCTAGAGGCAAAAGTGATGTCCTAGAAACCCAATGAGAAATGCACATAGAGTGTCTGAACATTAATGAATGTGTATACCTGGGAGCTGCTTGGCAGGTATGGCGGTATCAGATAGAAGAGACTTCCCTTAGCGTGGCAAACATTCTGTACATGACTCATCAAAAACGTTTCTTTTTGCAACAGATGGAGGCTACTGCAGAGTTGCACATCTGGTCAGGCACAGAAAACATATGCTTGGGAGATGCCCAGTACTAGGTGACACATCTGCAATGCAATATCTACAACTGAGGCTCATAGAGCATAGCAGAATAAGGGGGAGAGAGAGGGCTAAAGTACTCCTCAACTCTCACCAGTGAGGCTTCCATGTACATCAGAGTGTGATGTACACAGAAGGCCATAACTGGCCAAGTTGTGGAGAATAAGAGACTGTAGAGTGTAGGAATGGACTCTTATACTGAACCTCACCCACCCATGACTCAGGGATCATTGTGAAAGAGGAGGCAGAAAGGTTGTAAAAGCCAGGGGTGGTTCATGAACACAGGGAGGTAGAGGCTTCCAGGCCATTGGAGGCTTGCTCATGTGAGCCTGTGGCAGCAGTGGGATTGAATGTGGGACCCATGTCAGCTCAGTGAAAGAAGGGCCCAAAGTGAGTTGAGAAATAGGTGGTGGGCCAGCACTACATAGAGAACTATTTGAGACTGGTTGCTTCTGGATGAGGGAGAGGATGACTTATACAGGACCACTGGATGGGCTGACTAGACTCCAGTGGTTGTATTTACACTGAAGGACATCTGGGTACAAACACCTGAATGGATAGGACTCAGCGTGTGTGGCAGAAGGCATAGGGTTCAGTGGGGGGATAGGGAGAGGCATGGATGGGGGAGGGGATGTGGATCTGAGTGGGAAATGTGTGAAATTTAAAAAGTTCGATTAAAAAATGTCTTCAGATTTGTCAAATTCAAATAGGGTGATTCTGATGAAAGACTACTGAGATCTGTAAAATCCTGCTTAAATATTTTGTAATCGACTTCATATCTCATAAAAGGCTTTTACTTTTTATACTTTTAATGACTTATTTTATTAGCATTTATTAACTATAGAAAAATAGTGGGTTTTATAACAAATTTCTTACAAGTATAAATGTAATTTGCTCATTCTCCTCTTATTCCTCTTACCCCTCAGTGGACCCCCTTCCTCTTCTCATCAGCACCCTTCCTATGCCTTTCTACTGCCATATTAAGTATTTTGGTCTAGATTCTGCATAGAAGAGAAAATTGCATATTTGTCTTTCTGAGTCTGGATTAATTCATTTAGCATAGTCAGTGTTTCCTTTGGAAAATGATGATGAACTTATTAACCTGAAATATCACAGTAATGACATTCAAATATACTTTTTTATATATCATCAGCTAAATTTATTGGCTACCTAAAGTCAAAGAATCTTCCTATATGCACAATTTTATATTTGCCATCTGTCAGTTCTCTTTCAAACTCCGTCTATTTTAGTTGGATAAAAAAATTACATCAAACATATGTGTTTGAAACTCTCATAATATATGTACATTTACAGATAATATATGTATATTTATGGCTAACAACATTTACTACAAATTCTCAGTTATTATTCAGCATTTTAAAAACCAGTATATGGCCTTGTTCATTTATTTGAAATAATAATTTTATTTTGAGATATTGTATCTTTCACAAAATAAAATTATTGAATTTTTTGAGCACTTGAGAAGACAACTTTTATTTGTTCTCTACTTTGAAAAGAAAATATTCTTCAAACTGACAAGTTGAAAGAACATCAGGTCAGACCCTCTCATAGGGACTCAATGATACCCTTCCAGATCCACAGCTTCTGATGCTTTGTCGTGCAGGATCTATGAAGACATGGGATTCTTTGTAGGGCCTATTACTCTAAATATTGTCAGTCCAGTAGGCTAAACTCATATATCTTGAAAAAATGTCATTCTTTATATGCAGACTTCTATTATAGCTATTGCTGACCAAAATCTTTCTTTATTGAAAATAAACATATCTAGTAATTCAAAAATTCATTTCCTCTAGCCTCAATGTTATTTTTTCCATTAGAAACTTATTAATATTATTTTTCCTTAAATCTTTTTCACTTGTTCATGATCCAGGTTGGATTCAGCACTGGCTTTGTTGGTCCTGGGGGAAGCTGCAAAATTGAACATGGCCTGCTTGAAAACATTAATGGATCTAGTGAGAGATTTCCTTTCAAGCCTCTTGTCTGTTCAGACTCAGGTAACATATTACTAGTTTGGATGTGAAGAAAGATCTGAATGGAAACATACTTCATTTTTGCCATTATTTAAATTGTATATTATATTTGAACATATAATGTGCATACTTTTGTAATAGTTCTAATTAAATATAAATAAATGCAAATGCTATAAAATTTACTATTTAACATATTGTTCTTTATCCATACTATTAAAATTGATATTAGAATAAAATGAGATTATTTCTTTATTATTGAATATTAAGTTTCTTTTCAATTTTTAACAATTAAGTGATATTGAGCTGGAATTCTTGAATTTTTTTTTTCATTTTTGACACGATATGTGTATAGAATGTATTGTGGTCACATTGATCTCTATTACTCGCTCACTCCCTCCTCCCAATTTGCCTGACCCTCCCCTTCTTGCAAGCTACTCTTCTTATTTTGTTTTTGTACCCACTGAATTTGTAAGAGTATGGGTGGGGGATTATTTACTGGAGTTTGGGTCACTTACCAGTGGCTACACAACCATTAGGGAGCGATGGAGCCTCATGAATCCCTCACCAACAATGACAGAATGTTCAAGGGCCTGATCTTGTGAAAGTATCGATAGGACGATAGGACAGATGTGCACAGCTGCTGTATGTTCATGATTGCAATCGACATGTTATGTCCAGAACACAGTGTTTCAAAGGATTCCTCCCACCCTTCAGCTCTTACATTCTTTGGGTCATTTATCCTTACCACTTTGAGCATGTATGAGTTGCTACATTAACTGCCTGCCACTCAGTGCTAAAAGAAGTTTCTCTGTCCAAGGCTGAGAACAAATTAGCCTATGGGTTTAAATATGAATATTAAGAAGGCAGTTTGGCTACATGCCCACTTAGTAAAACAACAGTAGAGTATTTCTTCTTAAGGTCTGCAACCTCCACACCCATAATGTCTTTACCAGGTTTACAGTATCAGGCATGTATTCCGTTCTGTGAATCTGGTTTCAATACAATGAAATGGTTACCCCCAAACTGTCATGCCACTGTTGCACCAGTGGGGATATGCTGCCAGGTATATTGGTATTATTGCATGCAGGGTTCACTGCCGGGGAAGCTTGATGGTTTTTCTCTCTTTGAAGTCTATACAGCACATTAGAATAAATTACCAAAATTAAATTACTGAGTGAAATATTATTTTATGTGTGTGTACTTGAGCATATATGGTATTTGCAAGTGCTAATGCACCTCTCTCTCTCTCTCTCTCTCTCTCTCTCTCTCTCTCTCTCTCTCTCTCTCTCTCGACCAGAGGTCAATATCAGGTTTCTTTGTTTATCTTTCTGTATCTTATTTTCTGAGACAGGCTCTCTCACTGAACCTAGAACTCATAGATTGAGTAAGCTGTCTTTCCAAGAAGACCCTAAAATCCTTCTGTCTCTACTTCTGAGCACTGGGGTTAGAGGCATGCATTGCCACATGTCACACCTTTTTTTTTTTTTTTTTTTTTTTTTTTTTTTTTTTTAATAATGTGGATTCTGGGGATCTGAACTCAGGTCTTCAGGTTTACATAGCAAGCACTTTACCCACTGAGCCATCTCTCCAGTCACCTCCTTTACTGATGAACGTTCTTTTAAGGTTCTTGGAACACATGCACAAATAATTTTCTGAAAGTTGCAGTACATTTATATTTCTGTGAATATGAAAGTAACACACCCTAGAAAAGATTATTTTCTACATGGTATGGAAAGTATTATTTCTAACCACAGATACTTGGTTCTGATAACAGTGCCAGGTATGGGCTCCATCTTGTGAAGTGGGCCTTAAATCCAACAGGAACATGTTTGGACCTTCCCATAACATTTGTACCACTATTGCACTAGTTGGCATATCATACCAGGCTAGTCATTATTGTAACATGTAGGATTCACGGCTGGGTAAGGTTGTACCTGATAAACTGACCAGACTCCAAGGGATGGACCCATACCCAAGAGCATTTGGGGAACACAAATTAGACTCAATGGGCCTTTTGAAGTAGAAAACTAGTATCAGAGGACATGAAGATGGGGTGGGGTTGGAGATGGCAGAGGCTATCTGAATAGGATAAAAACACATTGTATGAAATTCTGAAAGAATTGATAAGATATTCTTAAAAGAAAGTATTTATTTTAGTTAATTATTTGAGGATTTCATACATGTATACAATGTATCTTAGTTAAATCTACTGGCACTTCCTCCCCTCCAACACCACTTAGGCACCCCACCACTCCTCCCTCCCAACTTCACACACTCTTTTTTAACCCACAGAGTACACTTAGAGCTTCCAGTATATGCAAGGAGTAGGGTCAATCTGCTGTAGTATGGGTAGCCTATCAGGGGCTGTATCCCTGAGGAAAAATGACTCTCTCTCAATAGATTAATTTATATTCTACTGATTATTAGAGAAATTAAATACCTTTTATTATATTATCTGCTTATATTTTTAAAGAGTTTTTATACAATCTATTCATCAAAAGCTATATTTTAAAGAGTATATTTAGAAATTTTAATTTATTTTGTTTTCTAACAACTCCATAGAATTTGAAAACATTTTTTTTTTTGTTACACCCATACTATATATGGTTTCTAATGACAACAGAATGTACTTTGGTTCTTTCTTATCTATTTTTGTATTTTTTTTTTCAGGAAGAAATGTATAAGGCGTATGACTTTTCCTGGGCCTACAATGTCATCCTTACATATACAACGATCATTGCAGAAATTTGCTTGTATGCAGCTACTTCTTACCTGAGAAAAACTGCTTTGATTGGGTTCTGTGCCTGTAAACATCCAAAGGAATATACTTTGCTCATGGAAAAATCAAAAGAAGAGCCAGAATTGCAGGAAGCAAGCATTTTAAGTCTTGTGAAATATTTCACTTCCAAAATGTCAGATAATTGTAAGTTATTTTCCATCTTAGTGAATATTTTCTAAATGTCCCTGTGTACTAAGTATAGTAATAACTTTTTCACAAAATTTTTTGCCCCTGAAACTGAGAAATATCTTTAAGTTTAGTAAGACTTCTTAGGGAGAATACTTCCTGATTTATTTTTTATTGAACTTTGAAAATTTCATACAATATTTTCCACTCACATCCAGACACCCTCCTCCATTCATGCCTCTGCCCCCACCCCCAAACCCTATGCATTCTGCCATACATGCTGAGTCCTATTCATTCAGGCATTTGTACCCAAATGTCCTTTAGTGCAAATGTGTCCACTGGAATCTAATCAGCCCAGCCAGTGGTCGTATGCAAATCACGTTCACCCTCACCCAGCAGGAACCAGTCTAAAATAGTTCTTGATCTTTTGGGCCCTTGTTTGATTGAGCTGACATGGGTCTTGTATTAGATGCCACCGCTGCCACAGGCTCAAATGAACAAGACTCCATTGGCCTGGAAACCTCCACCTCATAACGTTCATGAACCAGCCCTGGCTTACAATCTTTCTGCCTCCTCTTCCACAATGATCCCTGAGCCATGGGTGGGTGAGGTTCTGTGTAAGAGTCCATTCCTACACTCTACAGTCTCTTATTCTCCTAAACATGGCCAGTTGAAAGCCTCACTGGTGAGAGTTGAGGGGTGCATTAGCCTTCTCTCTACCCCTTATTCCAATGTTCCATGAGCCTTGGTTGTAGAGATTTGACTGCAGATATGTCACCTAGTACTGGGCATCCCCCAGGTGCATGTTCTCTATGCCCGATCAGATGTGCAACTCTGTAGTAGCCTCCATCTGTCGCAAAAGAAACTTCTGTGATGAGTGCTTTAAGGCATGTTTGTTGCTCTAAGGGAGATCTCTTCTATCTGACACTTCATTCCCTTCTGAGCAGCTCCTAGGTAAACATATGCATTAATGTTCAGACACTCTTTGTGCATTTCTCGTGGGGTTTCTAGGACATCATTTTCCCCTCTAGGCTTCTAGCCCCTGAAATTCACTCATCTCTATTCTTTTTTCTCCCACCCGGCCTCCTTCCTACCTTCCCAGTACCAGTGCCCCCACCATTCCCACCCTCCCCCCAATACCCCTCAACTCCGGCCACCCTTCCGTTCCCGAGTTCCCTTGCTCCCCCACATCCCTTGCATGTCCCTCCCTCCTCTCCTTCCCGCCTCTCCTCCCTGAAAAATTACTTACAATTTTTCAACCTTAGAGAGAATATTTTATAAAATGGATTTTTTTTTTTGTCTTTTTGAGACAAGGTCTCCCTGTAGCCCAGCTGTCCTGGAACTCACTATGTAGATCAGGCTGGCCTTGAACTCACAGAGATCTTCCGCCTGCCTCTGCCTCCCAAGTGCTGGGACTAAAGGCATGTGCCACCACGCCCAGCTTATAAAATGGATTTTTGGAAGTTTACTATTTTTATTTTATATGTATGAATGTATTGCCTCCATGGTGTAAATGCACCTGTGTTGTGTGATGCTCATGGATGTCAGAAGATGGAGTTGGATTCCCTGGAACTGGAGTTATGAACAGTTGTTAGCCTCCATGTGGGTGCTGGGAACTGAACCTGTATCCTCTGCAAAAGCAGCCAGTGCTCTTAACTGCTGAGCCATCTCTCCAATCCCTAAAGTGAATTGTGAAATCACTAGTTTTAGAAAAACTGAAATGTATTACAAACTCAGTAGATTAATGATTTAAATTGTATAATTGCAAAGAAAAGATGTCTTAAGAATTCTTCGATGTATCTACGATACTGTTCTCCTCTTTACCTTTGCTCCCTTTCTCTAAGGCCTTCTCTCCTCCATCCCTCTTACATACCCACTTTTCCTCTCTGCTCCTCTTCTATGCAGAGACTTCTTTTAATCACTCACTCAGTTCTCATTACTACTATCATTTTGTTCACAGCTTCACCCTATAACCCAGACTGACCTGAGACTGACAATCTTCCAGCCTCAGCCTCCCAAGTACTGGGCTTTCAGATTTGTGTTCACATACCTAAGTCCTATTTACTCAAACATTATAGTACATATTTTACGCCCAGCTTATTCTAATTCATCAAACAGTAGTGGTCCTTGTGTCACATTTAAAGGTAATCTTACTACTGTGATTCTGGGAATAACAAAATCACTAATATTATTTGTGAAAGAGCAGTAGTAATTCAAGAAGTTCTTTTATGCTGATAGAACTTTATAGGTGTATGATGAAAATCTTTGCAATCCATACATTGGTACACTCTGTTGTTTACATGACACTTTCATAATTGAGTCTAGAAAATCAATTCTCAGTTATACTTCTATTAACTTGTATCCAGTATAGTAGCACATAAAATGTGGGCAGTTTCTGGTAGCAAATCTATCATGTAATTAAATAAATCCCCAAGTTTCTGATATAGTTACAAGATTTTAAAAGTATCAACAGAAATAAAATTATCTTTCCTTAGAACCACGATTTATTGATGTGGGATGTGTTACTTGGTTGTAATGAAAAATAGTAAAATTTCAGTAGCAGATATTAATTTCACTCAGAAAACCTATCTCGTATTTTAAAATCACTTTCAGTATACTTTGCTTTAATTAACAAATTGGAAGCTATCATTTCCGAGTCAATTTTCTTCATTCACTTTTTCCCACTTTTCAAAATTATTTTTATTTGTTATTGATATTAGTTTTTAACAGAACTTTATTCTTTAGTGCACAAATGACATTTCTGCAGTGTTAGAAATATTGATAGAGTAAAGGAGCTCGTATTTGTTTACTTTCTGTTCACAATTATACTTACACATAGTGATCAGAAAACTTTTCAGTACACATTATTTTGAACTGCTGTTAAACAAAATATGCTACAAATTACAGACTTTCAGTCTTTCTTGTCTAGCTGTATAACTTGGTGCTGTTTGATTCTTTGGCAGTGAATACAGAAGCAAAGTCTCCATGGAGAGGACTTTTCCCCCCATATACCTCTTGGCCACCCTCCACCTGGGACCTTTTCGTTACATCATCATAATGGGCTGGCCATCTTACTAAAGACACTCAACTTTTTGTTCCTTCTTAGCAGTTCACTTTTTCCAAGCCAGCTGATAATTTCATCAAATTTATTTGCTCCTTGTTAATCTTTTGTCTTTTTTAAATGTGTATTTCTTAAAATTGATTTTTCTGTGCATTTCATACAAAAATACCTTAATTATTGTTATACTCCCTCCATGATCTGCACCTACCATAGCCCCCTCCCCACTGGATTTCATGCATTCTGTCATATATGTTAAGACCTATCAAGTCAAATTAGTGTAACCAGATGTCCCTCAGTGAAAATTCATCCACTGGGGTCTAGTCGCCCGATCTACTGTCTGTCCCTTAAAGATCAGCTCTCCCTCACCCAGCAGTAGTCAACTGCCAATAGTTCTTCAGCTAAGAATGGAGCCTGCTGCCCATTTTCCCAGTTCTATGCTGGGTTTTTGGCTCATTGGGTTTGAATGAGTCTTGTGCATGCTAACACCATTACTGTAGGTTCATATCAGCAAGGTCCCAGGTGCCTATAAGCCTGTTTCCATATAGTCATACACCTTCTCTTCTGGCTTTTACAGTCTTTCTGCCTCCTCTTTTCTGCAATGATCCCTGAGCCCTGGGTGGATGAAGTTTAATATAGGAGACCCATCCAAGGACCCACACTGTGCAGACTCTTATTCTCTGTCCTTTGGTCATTTGTGGCCTTTGGTGTTCATTGCCCTCTGTTGCATGAGAGAACTTTGTTGATGAGAGTTCAGAGATGCATTAGTGTTCACTTTATCCCTCCTTCTACTATGTTCCATGAGCCTTTAGTGTAGAGCTTCCATTGCAGATATGACACTTAGGGTTGGGCATCTCATAAACACTTACTCTCTATATGTGACCAGTTGTGGAACTCTGTAAGAATTTCTGTCTGTTGCAAAAGAATCCTTTTTGATGAATGGTGACTGGCATACATAAGGATTCATATTTAGCATATAGTAAGATATTGCATTCATCTAGGTATGTGACAGTCTTAGGGTTTTCTCTAAGAGCTATGACATTTCCAGCCATGTGTATTTGGTTATGCTTGCAGTACAACAGATGAGTTCCCTCCCACTGAGTGGACTTTAATTCCAATACGTAGATGTTGATTACCCCCAAGATAAAAGTGCCATTCCTGCACCAATATAATTTGCTGTGCCAGTCATCATTGTGGTTATTAGGCTGTAAAGCTGGGGTTGGACCATTGATTAATGTTCTCCCTTACTATGAGAGCTCGCCTTCAGGGAGGTGACTTCCAGGTCAGTTCCAGATTCATTGCTCCAAGTCCTACAACCAAAGTATGTCCTGTCTTCAGCAATAAGATTTTAACTTCAAGATCTGGGAAGCAATTATGGGCTGTGGCAATAGCTGTTATTTTGGGAGTCTCCTGGACTACCCTGACCAACAACCTGAAGGGAGGTTTCTCCTGTCTGGCACTGTTTTTTGTTATATAGTCTCAGCTATACACATGAGCTCATGTAGGATAGTGTATATGTAATTTTTCAGTAGACTTTTTAACTAATACATTTCGCTCTGGTTTTTCATACCACCTAAGCATTCTCTCTCTCTCTCTCTCTCTCTCTCTCTCTCTCTCTCTCTCTCTCTCTCTGTCTCCGCCCTCTCAATCTATCAAGTTAAAGTACCTCCATTTTCCCCATTTCACCTTTGATAATGCCTGTCTCCTACTGTTCCTCTCTCTAAGTCTCCTTCTTTCCATTTATCTCTCTATCTCCCTCGTTCCTTTCTATTTTCCTGCCTCTTGCAATTATATCAAGATATGTACTCATATATACAAGGATTTGGTGCTAAGATCCACAAATGAGGGAGCACATATGTCATTTGTTTTTCCAAGTCTGTGTTACTTCACTTAGCACAAGTTTTTAGTTCATTCAGTTGCATTCATTCACCTGCAAATTTCTTGATTTCATCTTCCTTAA